AGCTGCTTTATTTCTTTATGTTACAAAATTCATTCCTAGCTTCGGTGTTAACAAAGTTATCGAATGCAATGCTCTGGTTCGGTGTCAACAAAGTTACCGAATAGAATGCTCAGGTTCGTGTTTGAAACTTATATCATCGAGAAAATCAGAAGGCATAAACACTCTCCAATCAACTTTCAAGGACCGATTCAGGATCCAAAAAATTAGTTAAAAGGTAAAATAACAAAAATACCGAACTCCAAGGGAAATCCAAAAATACCGAACTCCAAGGGAAATCTAAAAATACCGAACTCCAAGGGAAATCTAAAAATACCGAACTCCAAGGGAAATCTAAAAATACCGAACTCCAAGGGAAATCTAAAAATACCGAACTCCAAGGGAAATCCAAAAATACCGAACTCCAAGGAAAATCCAAAACGAAAAGTCCTTTATCAAATGTCAAAATAAAATGACCAAACACATCAAACGAATGGAAAACAATTGTCATTTTCCTGACTTGGTACATGCATTTCCTTATGTAGAAAATGGTGGATTAAACCTGGGTTTATAGCTAGCTAAACCTCTCACTTGTATGACAGTCGCATAGAATTCCATTTTATTGACAACAATGTGTGAGCAAGAAAAACAAACATAATAGGTAAAAATGTCAAAAAGTGGGGAACAGCAGTCAACATTGTGCTATAATCTTAATCACTATAAAAACAAATAACTATTTTAACAAAGGAAAACAGTTGCTAAAAAGAGGGTATCGGTCTAACATCTCTATCTCAATTTTACCGGTAATAGTCAAAACCTATCTTTGCTACATGCGAAACATAAAACCAGAACATCATTAAACCTACATGTATGTCTAACTCAGCAGCTAAATAATAAATTACAAAAACATAACATGGAATCGTTTGTTAAAATGACACTGGGCATGGCTGTTGATGTAGCTTCCCAATTATTGTTTAACCATTGTGAATGAACAGACAATTAAAGAATGCTTCGTTAATTACAGCACTCACATTTCAAAAGAAGACAGTTTACATCTAACCAAGTATGTTATTTATGTTCTAGGTAAACTATGGAATCTTAATTTTTCTCTTTCGTAAGATGTTTTTTAATTAAGCGTAAATAGTTAGAACATTTTGTAGCTTAAAATATCACTTCAAACTGATTTTGCCAGTACTGAATGCTAATTTAAGAATTTTGGGTGTAATTTGTAAATATGTACTTCACAGTACAAAAGTTTAGTATTCATAAATCAGTACATTCCGAGTCAATTATAGAGGTTATTTTTTCGCAGTATTTTTAAACACTAGGTTTGAAAAGATTACCTAAGTTCAATTATATTACAGCATCTATATCATCAGAAACAAATTGAATCATAAATACTCTTTAACTAAAACGTAAGTATTTAACACCACAGGAAGACGACATGGTTCACATGGGTGAATCCAGGACTTTCAGAAAAAGGGTGGAGGGGTCCATTTTAAAAACAGTGGGAGACGACACCATTTATAAATCCGAAAATGCACTAATACAAATTTTCGGCCAAAAAAGAAACTGGAAAATTCGCCTCCCCCTTGTGATCCGCCCGTGATGCCAAAAATTTTTAAAAGGGGAGATGATATAAAGAATACATTAACCGAGGGTTGTTTCATGTGACCAGAAAGAAAACAATAATGCGCTTCACAAGTGCCATTATTCTTATTGCCTAATGTTCAAAATGAATAATGAGTTAAATTCGCAAAGGGCAAAGTTGGTAAAAAAGGATCTAGAAAAAGGTATGATAGTTATTTGATGGCGATCGAAGAGTGGTTATAAATAAATGGAGTGGTACGCTCGAGACAAAATAATTGAACGCCAAATGTATTATACTACGTTCAGAAGCGTCAACTATCTAAAACAAATAACATGTCTTAACAGAAAAAAATAATCCCTTTATGGTCAACTTTGTTTCAAGAACACCATTAATACCATTCAAGAAATAAATGTTATCTGTTAAGCAGTGGCAGATGACAGGTCCACATGTGTAAATTCTAAATAATCATGCATTAAATTATTGATAATATCTTATTGTTACACTGTTAAAGATATTATTGAGAGACCATACCGATTAGTAAACATAACCTGTGGTATTAATATGTGCTGGATGTGCTTGTAATATTTGCCGCTGGATGTAAAACAGCCTTAAATCAATCTATACAAATATCAATTTATGTCAAAAGATAACCTAACGGATAAGATTATTTTCCAGATAAATACTTTTCAAAACATAATGCTTGATTTACAAATCAGTAGAACATATACCAATAGGGAAGACCAAAATCATTATTAAAAAAACATATAATACCATGGCTAAAAAAAACGGACAGACGTACAACATTCCACAAAACACTACATAGAAAACTAAAGATTGACCATCATAAACAAACATTGAAACACGGAGCTGATCTCAGGTGGTCAGAAAAGGTAACATTGAAACACGGAGCTGATCTCAGGTGGTCAGAAAAGGTAACATTGAAACACGGAGCTGATCTCAGGTGGTCAGAAAAGGTAAACATTGAAACACGGAGCTGATCTCAGGTGGTCAGAAAAGGTAAACATTGAAACACGGAGCTGATCTCAGGTGGTCAGAAAAGGTACACATTGAAATACGGAGATGATCTCAGGTGGTCAGAAAAGGTAAACATTGAAACATGGAACTGATCTCAGGTGTACAGAAAAGGTAAACATTGAAACACGGAGCTAAACTCAGGTGGTCAGAAAAGGTTAACATTGATACATGGAACTGATCTCGGGTGTTCAGAAAAAGTAAACATTGAAACACGGAACTGATCTCAGGTGGTCAGAAAAGGTACGCAGTTCTTGCTTCACTAGTGGTACCTTCGTTTGTCATGGCGGGAACAATCTTGTGATAAATAAGTCGCCGTGGTCTATTTGTTAACCGTCTTACTAAACGAGTATTAGATGCGACTTATCGCTGGATTCATGAGAATGATAAAATTGAGAATGGAAATGGAACATTGATAATGATATTTTAGATTTAGCTACATATTTTATTTATTAGTTGTTATTGGCTTTGAACTAGCTGTCAGTAACCGTGATTACTCTCATATCTGTCACTTTGTGTCTGTTTTGTTGTGGGGATGTATAAATTTCCTGCTACGTCCGGTCTGTGTATTTTTGGTTGTTTTTCTGCTTTGTATCGATCTGATGAGATAGCCCTTTTCAACTGATTTTTATAGTTCTTATGTTGTACTGTTACACCACTGCCCTAGTTAAGTGGGGGGGGGGGGGGGAGTTGGCGCCGGAAAAGATGTTTAACCCCGTCACATTCTGTATGTGTCTGTCCCAAGTCAGGAGCCTGTAATTCAGTGGTGGTCGTTTGTTGCTGTATATCATATTTGTTTTTAGTTTATTGTTTTGTACAGAAATCAGACCGTTTGTTTCTCGTTATAATTGTCTTACATTTGTCATTTCGGGCCTTTTATGATAGAGGATTGCTGCTCACAAGGAAGCTTTTAAACCAAGAGTTCCAAATGGTGAAGTTGAAATCATCCCTTCGTTAATTTTACGGACGCCATCACGAGTTGGTTGACCGTTATGGAATAACCGTTTCACAGATGATATCGGATATGTTCCTTATGTCGTAACTACAATACCCTCCCTTTTCACGAATGTGACTTACCGAATTAGACTATTTACCAGATTTGTAATAACATAAGCAACACGACGGATGCCACATGTGGAGCAGGATCTGCTTACCCTTCCGGAGCACCTGAGATCACCCCCAGTTTTTGGTGGGTTTCGTGTTGCTTAGTCTTTGGTTTTCTATGTTGTGTCATCTGTACTATTATTTGTCTGTTTGTCTTTTTATTTTTGGCTATGGCGTTGTCAATTTGTTTTCGATCTATGAGTTTGACTGTCCCTCTGGTATCTTTCGTCCCTCTTTTATAGCTTACTATGCAGTATGGATTGTTCTTATTGTTGAAGGTGTGACCTATAGTTGTTAACTTCTACGTCAATTGGTCTCTGGTGGGGAGTTGTCTCATTGCCAATCATACCATACCTTCCTATTTTGTATTATCTATCTATGTAAAGTGTCGTTCATAGTTTCTCTCTTTTTAATATTTTTTCATACATCAACTTATTTCTCCTATCTTTCTTTCTTTTTCTTTTTTCTCTCTCTCTTTTTCTTTCTTTCTTTCTTATCGTTACCAAAACAAATATTCTGTATCTTTAAAATTAGTGAATATAATAATAGCTTCACATGCATTACATAGATGTGATGTTTTTGTGAGATGGTTTGCGTAAAATGAAATTATTTTCGCATAGATATCTGTAGTGCACTGTTTTTCTGCAGAAATAATTCAATCATGTCTTGTTTATTTCTAACTAGACAAACACGATATATTAAAGAAGTATGTGCTGCAGAAAATGTCAAGTATTTCACGTGTTGAATGTTATTGTAGTGCACACCAGTTGTGTCTAAAAAAATGTCAATGTTATTCAATATTTGTTTTTTTTTTGTCATATAACGTTGTTTGACATAAAATTGGATGGAAATTGAATATCCTGACTTTTTTACCACAAGTTTGGACATATACTAGTATAATAGTCCCAGTTTGGACCTAGGAAAATTTAATATTTACTGTTCAAAATTCAAGTACTTAAAAGATAATTTTTACGCCAATTAATCATGATTCTTCTGGTTTTTAACTCAATTTTAAATATTCCAAAAATAAATCCGTTAGGATAGTTAATCGCCGATCTTTTTTCCATTACACCCAGTAAGAATTGTATAACTGTTTGTTCAACAGAGACAATGACGTCGATCAATGAATTTGATAAGCTGACACAAAGTCCTAATCAAACATTATTGAACGTACCAAGTACTGTTGTTTTATGCAAAGTAGATTATAGATTATTGGTGTAAAAAGCGAGAGTATTTAAACTGATAAAGACTTTTTATACCCAACCGGGTTTACTTATTTATCACACACCTGAATGACACGTCTCCAAGGTGCGATACACAATTACCATATAATATGCATTCAAGTCGTCATGGCGCTTCTCACTCAGCCGGAATGAAACATTACTTCCGTTAAAACGTATTGTCAAATATTATTTAATTCTAATATTTTAAAGGTTTATTTGTAGTAGTGGTTTAAAGGAATTATGGCCGCAGCGGCCAAGACTAACCAGCCACCCACGGGACGTGCGGTAGCTAATTGTAATTTTGTAGCACAAGATCAGATTTGGTGAGTAAATTGTTAATTGATTAATTTCTTTAATTAAAACGTTTTATGTTTGATTAAAACAATAAAACGTACACGAGTCTTTTCCTGCCTCCATTGATTTACGTAAGATTAGGTAATTTTATCTTTTAAAGATCTTAATTTGTAACGGATAATATTTCCTGAATAAGCAGAACGTGTGATAATTTGTATAAATGATGAATTTAAGAACCTGAGCGATCTGATAAGATACTTGTATCAGTTTACACACTACTAATTGTGTTATTTAAACGTATAAATAGTATAACTAGTGTGTTGTTAAAAAAAAAAATTTTGCATCACTGCGATATGAATTGTTTTTAACTGACATACAATCAAATTTCAGCTGCATGTAAAGTTTTAATCTTTTTTTGAATCTGAAAAATCTCAATCTGTATACATGTAAATTCAATTGTTTTTTTTTTTTTATCTACCAATTAACTTTTGATTTGATTATTATGATATAGATACAGGCATTCAATTCATAATTACGTGGGGTATCACCTAACGCTGTCTGAAACATTTATGATGATAAAAATTTCTTTGATTTTTCAACAAGTATTTGCAGCTGATAAATTCAATCTATATTGTTTAATAAAGATCTTTTGTGAAAAAGTACTTATAAACATGTATGTTATAAGATTATTGTACTCTATTTTTGCATTAAAGGATTATCTCGTAGCTAATCAATACAATATGCGTGTGGTATCTACCCAATTTTACATTGGAATAAATAAATGATATATTTTTCTCTCTGTAACTAGGTTGTAATAACCTTCTGTTCTATTGTATAACTTGAATGAGAAGATATTTTATGAACAAATTGAAGTCATTTAAAAAAAAGTCGGAATCCTGTCGTTAGATTTGTTTTCAGAATTTTCACTGATTTCAAGTTAAATCTTTATTATAGCAAAACGAAGGCTTTGACAAATCTATGAACCTGCTGCATTGGCTATACACGTTAGGGTTATATTAGTGCGTGGAGTCAATGTTATTTTATCAAATTTTGTTGGTTGTTTTAGTCTTTAGTTTGTATTTCTATTTTCTTTTGGAGTTGGTTGTTGGTTTTTGGTATGAGCTGTTGTATTGTCCAATATTTTTGGGTAATTCCTGTAATCTTGTTTATGAATTTTTGTAGATTATTTTAGTTCTATTTAAAAAGTTATTATCCAGAATTTAAGATCTCTATGACAATTCATTACTGTGTTTAATATAACTAATTTTTTTTACAGGAAAGACCATGTTCACCATGAAATGACAGCCTCCAAAACGTGGCCGAATAGCTGGGGTTTCTTAACGACACCATACGGAGAAGTGAGTTTGAACAATAGAGTTAATTGGTGTTAAATTAACAATTGACGTAATTAACTTAAGCATTGGTTTACTAGAAGTGTTACATACTATGTAACTGACACACAATGTTACTTATTGTTCTGGCTTACCCTACAAGATATGATTTCTTTTATGTAAACGAAGAGAATTTACGATGATAGATGAATCTTTAAGAGCTGTTGCTTGACTGTGGATCTTAGAGATCACCTATCAATGAGAATTGATATGATATGAGTTCGTTTGTTTTGACCATTATCAACTAACACTCAAGACCCCCCCCCCCACTCGAAGTTGCCTATAGGTTCATACAAATGTTTAAATGCCAAAATGTTCCGAATATTTTGCCTCTATTCTACTTGAGTACTATTAGAAATACTGCCTTGTCTGTGGAGGTACATATACGTTGGTAAAGTTCTAGTTTATCTATTTTTCGAGCCTTACAATGGCCAACATGACGGTTGTCACATGTAAAGCAGGATCTGCTTACCCTTCTGGAGCACCTAAGATCATCCCCGGTGTTATGATCGGTCTCCTATTGTTCAGCCTTTAGTTTTGTATGTAGTGTTTTTATAGGCTTTTGTTTGTACTTTCGTCGTTTTTCATGTTTTTACCATGATTTTGTCTCTCTCTCTTCAACAACTACTATGTTTTTTGTATCTTTGACTTTAAAGTGTAATTTCAATTTAATAGAATATACTTGTTTGAGACATAGTGACTACAATCATGTAGTTATAATATATAAAATAATTAAGACGTATAGCTACTTTTTGTGGGAATTTACATGAAAAAGAAAATAACATGGCTTTGACATTGTTAGAACACAGCATGATAAGGGATTAACCAAATTCACTAAACAGTTAAATCAAATGTAATACGAAACTGATTATTATTCTAGTAATCGGCTTAAAATATAACAAATCGAAATGAAACTGTGCAACACGGTGAAAGTGAAAACTAAAACTCGTTTGAATTGGAAAGAGACTTACATTTTAATATAGTTACAAAAAGGGGGAATGTGGGATAATTGGTTACCCAACGTGAGAAATGACATCCAATTTGATTTAAAATTTCATTTTGAAAATGTAATTGAGCTAGTTTTTTTTTTCATTTTTCTTTGTTAGTATATTTAATTTAAATCTATGTATGTAGGTTCGTCAGTGTTGATTTTATTGGGTATTTAAATATGAAAATTTCGAGTACTAATCTAACAATGTATGTACACAAATTAAAAGTTCTCCCACCTTTTATTCAAACAAAAGATTGAGAATATTTTGAAGTTAAACTACAATTTAGATCGTATGTTATTTATGACCGTCAATAAAATGTACTAAACAAATTTAAAGTGGGCGTTTAGGATATGTATATAAATATGGCTTTAATAATTTGAGTTTCGTAACTTCAATATCTTTTTTGATACACTATGTGTTTGTTTGTTTTCTTGTACTGTGAGTTGCTTTCTCAACGACGTGTAATATCTGTACCAAGTCAGGACTAGGACATGTTTTCCAGTCGTTCAGTTGGTTGATAAAATCGAGTGTTTGGTTCTGTTAAGTTTTATAGACTTCCCCCCGTTTTCAATTTACAATGGAGTTCAGTATTTTTGTTTATTCATGTTTTACCGTATATTTACTCTAGGTCATATAAGATTTGTAATATAAGCAACATTGAAAAATCTAACCATAATTATCATTCTCTTAGGGAGGAGAGACCAACTATACTACTATTTGAATACCTTATTTCACCTTTTACTGAACGTAACAAAATACCAGATGACATATTTGTTATCAATAAACAATCCCGTTTTTACTTTCTAAAACGATATTTTGGTCGGTATGTTTGGGTCGGTGTGTTTTTTGGGTTATTTTTGGGGTGGTATGTAGGGGTGGTATGTTTCGAAAAAAAATTATGCTAGTTGTTCATGAAACAATCCAAAGGAAACGCCAAAAATTCCAGTGGAATTGAATTAAAAATTCTTGAAAATATAATGATAGTATTCGGTTAGAAAATATTGATACTATACTGCAAATTTAAGGCGGCCATTAGCAACATTCATATCATCTTAAAATATTTGGTCAATAACGCAATGAATAAGAGCAAATCACAAATAGGAAAAGCACGTGATATTATTAATAACTGTTAACGCAGCCATTAATAACAGTTAGCGACACCATTAATAACTGTTAATGGTACCATTAATAACAGTTGACGACATCATTAATAACAGTTAACGACACCATTAATAACTGTTAACGGCACCAATAATAACAGTTGACGACACCATTAATAACTGTTATTTCATATCGGTTAAGAATTAGCTTCTCTTATTGGATAACAAGGGGCCACATGACATTCTTTATTCTTTAGTTAAAAGTTCCATCGGTCTTTAACAGAAAAAAACGGATCAGAAAACCGGCCTTTTACATGTTAATGACCAGTGGGGCGTGGTTTCTCTGTTTAGAGTGATGTCACTTTTAAATTGAAGTTGTTGAATTGTTTATCATATGTTTTCGTTAATTATAAAATTATAGAAAAGTTTATTTTTGTATTCATATTCTGAAAAATTCCACTTAAATGAATAGCAGTGACTTATAGTTATCACTATGACTGGTCTTCACCCTTTCCTATAGAAATCTTACAATAACTCGAGTTTGCTTTGAACAATTTGAATTTATGAGAACTTTAAAAAACATGGTTCCTCAATGAAATAAACATAATAGTTATTGAAGAACTGGTCATTATCGTGATACATGTACTGCCCGTATGACAGTCTATGTATCACGATAATGACCAGTTTTTCCATAACTATTATATAACGGTACTAATTGTACTGCATCAGATGCGCATTACGACAATTCCTTCTCTTAAAATTACTTTGATTCCCATTACGTGATGAGTTGAATGTTTTCGCTGCATTAACTGCAGACCGTCATATTTAAACAAAAAGTGAAATCCTGTTCAATATTTTTGTCAGCTTTATTATTATTCAGCCCATATTATTTATTATTCAATTTATTGTAACCCATATAATATAACATTCTTTAATAATATGAACTTGTAATATCTTTCAAGTAGCAATGTTTTTGTTGTCAATAAAACCATGTTCCTTCGTTTTTATTATACACACAATTTTAAAGAAGATTTTGATAAAAAGTCATTATCATGCGTATACAACACAATAATTCTATACTGGTAATTAACATTTATAGATATAGGTATGTCTGTTGAAATAAGTTATGGACCACTTCATTTCAAATTATTTTAGTCAGATTAAAGATAACTTTTAAAAATACTTTACCAGTTTATTGTCATTCAAATTTAAGATTCAATCAAAATACTGCGCCAAGTTAGAGACATTTATAAGTATATAAATGTACTAATCTAACTTTCCAATGTTCATTATGTACTATATATGACCCGGAACTCAGTTTGGCAAAGTGTAACGAAAGAAAATATATCGATTATCAGTTAACAAGTTACATAGTTCATACTTTGTATTATATTGCTATTTTCATTCATATTTTTAGATACGTGCACTCCTGGATTGAATAACATGTACTTGTTTGCCTTGCCAATACTTAACAGTACATGTACTATATAATTATATTTATTCATTTCCAGCTATATATAATTTCAACGTTTTAAGGTTAAACTTAATTATTCATAAACGCTCCTGAAACATTTCAGGAGAGGCTGTTAGTGTTGGCTTTCATTGAATAGAGCCATTTTACTCTCCGCTATCCAATCTTTTTTTTACACTGAATTATAAGCATTAGTGTGTCTCTTATCTTTGGCCATTATCGGTGTTATCTTTTTGTAGGCTCTCCGAAAATATTCAAGAGCATAACATTATAATGTAGTTTCTCCTTGCGTTTGTCAAAAGGTCAAATGTTAAGGTCAAGTTAGTAAAAATAGAAAAAAAAGTGAACAATGGTTTCCGGATGGTAACTAAGGTGTTCCTTTGCCTGATTATAATGAAACTCATACAGATGAAAGATATAAGGGAGTCGATGAGTCCTAGTGATTATGAGTCCAAAAGGTTAAAGGTCATGGTTACAGCAATTAAAAATAGAAAAAAATGAGCAATGGTTTCTGGATGTCAATCGTTGACAATATTTTCAAATGTTAACTAAATTGGGCAGCACAACAAAGACATTACACACGACTCATATAAAAAGCAAATATTTGCTTTGTCTGGCCAAGCGTACTATTTGCACCATTTAAATTTAGGTATATCCCAGTTTTCCCCTTTTCTATGAATACATGTGGTTTTCAACTTGTTATTTTGTTGTTGCTTTATTGGTTTGTTTGTTTACAGTGTAGGCATTTTTTTCAAGATTTTTTGTTACTGATTTTGTTTTTATTTTCACAGCTTGTAAAAGATGACATTCCCAAGAAAGAGAAAAGAGAACCAGTAGATGTTTTACAAATCCGACCTGTTACCCCTATAGAGGAATATATCAAGGTGGAACCATCACCACATCCGTTTCCCAAGACAACATCACAAACAGTTGGATGGCGATCCACATCTAAAATACATGCGCTAGAAAAATATGGCAAATATGCAAAACCGAAAGGAGGACTTGTTAGACAGCTCAACTGGCCAACAGAGGCAATTGATTAATTCTAAACGGTGCTATTTGTTAATTATTTTTATGTAAATTTTTATTCACAAGTCTTTTGAAAGAGTAATTTATGTTTAAAATCAGTATTACATGTCTGTTTTGAAGGCACTAGTCTGATTTTGTTTAAGACAGACGTGGTTGTAATTTTTTTTATTGAATCCTGTGCTTAATTGTTTTCAGTTTTACCACGTGGAATATTTTTCCTCGAAATCTGATACAAACCATCTAAGCAGACCAAGAAAAAGGTGCATAAATCTGAATTTCTGCTGTTATACCATGCAATTGCTAATTAACAGTTCGACATGTTGCTGTGAATATTGTTATACAATGTGCAATAATTTTGTAAACATGTAAGAAATGCATTTTTAGAATTATATTTTTGTAATTATTAATACTTTCTAATATATACTTATGTAAGGAGTAATATTACATAATTTCTGCTCAATATTTGTATATTTCCACTAACAGTATTGGATCTATAGTCAGTATTTTACTTTGTAAGGCATTTTAGATATGATGTTTCAGTTATGCACATTATTGATTCGTTGGTAATAAAGTATGATGATCAATATGCCTGTAATGTTCTTTATCAAACACAAAATGTACTACAACAAATTACCCAAACAAAAAAGAAATAATCGAAATTGAAAAACTAATGGAAATAAAATTCGTATTGAGGAAACAAATACTGGTAATTAATTAGAAAGAAAATCATACGTAATAACATGGTTGTTTGCTGTTCCTGTAATCAGATGAAACAGCGGAAGAATTAAATGGTGTAATTGTTCATGGTGCAGTGGTATTATTCCGATATTTGGTCTCGTTTATGATCATTATTATTATATGGGCTTTTGAAGCCGTTTAATGGTTCGGTATATTTTACATCATATTGCCATTAAATATATATCAAAAGACCAGATTTAAAAGACAAATATGGGAGTGAAAACAAATGGAATCGCTAAAACTACAGTTGCAGTGAGTCCAGGTGTGTCTTTTTATCCCCTACAGACAAAAATAACAGTTAAAAATGAAGGGAAAACCAACTGGATATTGTATAGTTTTCAACACTGAGAGCTCGCATGTGTCTTCCCCAAGTCAGGACCCTGTAATTCAGTGGCTGGCGTTGGTAGCTGGCAGTCATTGTGTTTTCTGGTTTTGTCATGTCGGGCCTTCTTTAGATACACCATCCTATATATACATATCCACAGATAAGACAATGATTTGACAGCAATGACAAAGAATATTAGTACATGTAACTTACAAATTAAGAAATGGTTAAGAAACGTTGGTTCCAACTCAGTCAGGTAAAGTTGACCTTGTGTGCATTTGGCCATACTTTTTTTATTTCCTTTATGGTCATATAGTACGAAAGCCTATTAGGGTCACAAAAAAAAATATTTATCGCGTAAAATTATCGCGTAATTACGAGATAATTATCGCGTAATTACGAGATAATTATCGCGTAATTACGAGAAAACTATCGCGTAATTACGAGATAATCATTTTTTTATCTCGTAATTACGAGATAATCATTTTTATACGCCCGTTTACGGGACGTATTATGGTATACCGTTGTCCGTCTGTCTGTCTGTCCGTCCGTCGTCAACATGTCGGACATTAACTCAAAAAACGCTTTAACTAATTTGCATAAAACTTTGGTGAATTGCTTATGTCTATTGGTGTGAGCTCCCTTTCGTTTTTTATAAATTTTAGATTTTACGTTTCCGAGTTATGGGGTTTTATTCATAAAAAGGGGGATTTTCGGACAAAAAATAAAAAAATGCTTTCAGCAGTTCTTATAAAACTTTGGTGAATTGTTTATATCTATTGATATAAGCTCTGTTTAGAATTTAAAAAAATTTTCATTTATCATTTCTGAGTTATTGGGTTTTATTCATTAAAAAAAGGGAGATTTTCCAGTTTTCGGACAATAACTCAAGAATGCTTTTACCAACTTGCAAGAAATTGTGGTGAATTGTTTATATCTATTGACATGAGCTCCCTTTCGATTTTTATATATTTTAGATTTTACGTTTCCGAGTTACAGGGTTTATTCATAAAAAAAGGGGGATTTTCCAGTTTTCGGACAATAACTCAAAAATGCTGTAAGGAATTCTCATGAAACTTTGGTGAATAGTTTATATCTATTGATGTAAGCTCCCTTTACATTTTCATAAATTTTCTAATATGACATTGAGAATTAATTGAACTTTATTTGTTTATAGTCTGACAACAGATTTACTAAGTATTGCGCAACAGCACAGTGTATTGCACAACAGCTTGAAATCTTTAATTGAATATAAATTCAATTCATATAACCAATTTCAAGTTCTTTGACTACATTTATTCAGAAACCTATAATATGTCAAATATTTAATTACAATCCAAATTCAGACCTGTATCAAGCTTGAATATTGTGTCCATTTTTGCCCCAACTGTTCAGGGTTGCACCTCTGCGGGCGTATCCAGCTGCGCTCAGCGAAGCAGTTTATTTTATCTCGTAATTACGCGATAGTTTTCTCGTAATTACGCGATACTTTTCTCGTAATAACGCGATGATTATCTCGTAATTACGAGTTAAAAATGATTATCCCGTAATTACGCGATAGTTTTCTCGTAATTACGCGATAATTATCTCGTAATTACGAGATAAAAAACTTCTTATCTCGTAATTACGCGATAGTTTTCTCGTAATTACGCGATGATTATGTCGTTTTCTCGTAATTACGCGATAATTATCTTAAAAAATGATTATTTCGTAATTACGCGATAGTTTTCTCATAATTACGCGATAATTATCTCGTAATTACGCGATAAATATTTTTTTTTTTGTGACCCTAATAGGCTTTCGTAATATAGCGCCCCAGATATTCATTTTTTTTTTCATCTTGTCGTTCAATATTATGAGTTTGAGCATTTTCAAAGAAGGCAAACACAGAAAAGCGATCGGTCGCATCAAATTCAAAAATTGTTATTTTCATATAACAAAGTATTGAAATCATTTACAGTATATACTCTTTCTGAGACGACATCGTTCAAGTAAACTATATGTTTAACTGTGTATAAACTGTATAGTGGCTATATAAACATAATATAATGTGGAATAATCTGAAGTGGCAGTTGTTCGTTAAGTTAAAATAGTATTATATTGTCATTATATATACATCACATGCATTGTGGGTATTAGTTTACCGAAGTAGATGTTTGTGTTTTGTATTGACAACCACTGAGCACTTGCCTTCATGATACTTTATCATCAAGTGTCTATATTATTTACCTTACTAGACGAGTATACCAGATCGAATATATGATTTGACATCCAAAATTTAACACGTTCAATAACTCTGAATATTAACAGACTTTCATCCTCCTACTTCTAGTTTTAAAATCTCGTAGGACTACTTGAAAGTAGACCAGAAACAAAGCTTAAGCAACACGTAACATCAAAGAGTAAAACTTTTTTTGAATAAAAAACACTAGCTGTTAACAAATTTTGACGACCGCTTATGATAGCAAATCGATCCCTAAATAACAATATTAATTCGTATCAACGTTTATAGTACGGATGTGACTTTTAACTCGTAGGATTCCCCTTTATTTTAGACGAACTGTCTGCGTTGGATAACATGTTACTGCGGACTGTCTGCGTTGGATAACATGTGTTACTGCAAACTGTCTGCGTTGGATAACGTGTGTTACTGCGAACTGTCTGCGTTAGATAAAATGTGTTACTGCGGACTGTTTGCGTTGGATAACATGTGTTACTGCGGACTGTCTGCGTTGGATATCACGTGTTACTGTGGACTGTCTGCTTTGGATAACATGTGTTACTGGTGACTGTTACATTGTAATTCCCACTGGAAATCACAGCTCATCGTTAAGTTCTATCTAGTAGAAAGCAGGGTCCTGTGGTTCATATCATAAATGGTTATTTTTCTGTTATGATCGAAATTTTACCCGCTACATGGACATAAAACATTAAATCATCCAGGGATCCAAACCGTTCCGTTATCATAGAAGTAACATGGATGTTTTGCAGTCATTAAAAGTAGAAAAAGCCAGGAGATACCACGGACACAATCATAATAACATTAACGATACCAATTCTACCGCACCAGATGCGCATTTCGACAATCAATGTCTCTTCAGTGATGCTCGAGGCCAAATTATTTTCTAAAGATAGATGGACAACACCATGACAAAAACTATTGAAAAACGAAAGCAAAGTTTTACAATAGCCAATGACCGAACCCCACATGTTTTCAACCATTTAAAAAATAAATGTCAGTGCTATCAGTAGACACAATCAAATAAGTCAACCTTTAGTTTGTCAAACAATTATCTTGTAATCAAGCAAAGACCACGAGACTATTGTTCAATCTACCCCAATAATCAAAAGATAACATTATATTCTATATACTAGAAGTATTCGCAAAATATTCGCACAATTAAAGGTACACCAAAAATAGTGTCTGTTAAATAATAAATCTCAATAATAATAACTGATAACATTATATATATACGGGTTGTTAAGTAGGTAATCTATTATCATATATTGAATTTTCTTATGACAATCTCTGAGGTAAATTTAAAAATGATTACTAAATTATTCGGTCAGCAAAATTGACAAATATCAGTTTTTTCAGTCCATACACTTATATTGGTCACATGTTCAGTATAGTAATATGTTGTGAATCATTGTCTAGTTTTAGCAACCGTGGTTATATTTTCACTGATAATTGAACGTCATTATTATATCGTCACTTCGTGCATTCAAAATGTATGCACAATTGTAGTGGTGCTCCGTAAATTTAAGTGAAAATTACTTCTATCAAATTCGGTTATTTTATGTATCAATTTGCAATTGGTACATCATAACAGTCTAATGATCATTCAATCGTAAAATCTGTCAAAATGAGTCGATCTTTATACTTTGGATTGAAATATGCCTGGGTGGCCCAAAATGTTCTCGCCTTCTAAAATGTGCACCCTCTCCAAAATACTCTAGGTACGGACGGCTTTACACCTTACTTTGCATATTAGTCTAAAATTATCAACTCAACACAATCACATACAGTTTTTTGTGAAACCACCAACGAACATAATTCAACATTTATGAAAGAGTAGTTATACTGTAAATAGAATATATCTGTAATTATATCAAGTGTCACGACTTTAAATAGGTACTCTAAAATGGATTATCACTGGTTAAATTGTTATCGACCAACACATATCAAATACTACCCTTTAACGACTTTGGCTAATGCGTTAAATCTAAAGTCTTTTACGACCTGTCCTTCAATAATTCTGTATAACAGTTGTGTATTTACCTATAGATATAGAAAAATGAATTGAATTGTTCCATTGAGTATGGGCACGTGATTGGTAGATTTTATTCTAACGAACGTTATATCTTTTACTGTGTTTCATTTTATTGAAAATATAGGAAGACTAGGTTGCATCTACAAAAACTCATGAAAGTTACCATGGAAAGGGGGGGAGGTTTAGCTAGCTATAAAACCAGGTTTTACCCTTCATTTTCTTCGGAAAATGCCTGAACCAAGTCAGA